TTTTAGACTGGGTGTGGTGGCGCACACCTGTAATCCCAGCTCTTGAGATGCTGAACATAGGCAGATCACTATGAGTCCAATCTATGTAGTGAGACCCTGTAGACCCTATACTAAAATACAAAAAAAAAAAAAATTGTTTTTGCAGAACTTTATCAAGGATCATAAAATTGAAAATTTTTAAACAATTAAAAATTTAATGGATAAAACTGATAACAGCAAATATAATTTTGTGATGTAGTACATTTGCAAGACGTGTAAATCAGTGAACTATTTTTTCTAATAACTAAAAGATGATGCACAAGTATGCATAAGTAAAAGAGACATTGAAATAGGCCGATTTTAATGTAAAAATATTAGAAGTATATTAATATAGTTAGAGATTACATATTTCAAATAATGTACTACATTTCCAGTTCTGGTCTAGAATTAAGGAACACCCAATGATCTGAAATATATAGATATGCAATGAGTTGACTTTTTTCATGGATTAGTAAGTATCTTAATTAGATAATTAGAATCAAAAGGTTAAAAGAAAAAAACTATAACTATCATGGATTGAATCAATCAAGAATCAGTTGGAAAATACAAAAATGAAAATGTTAACTAAAATAACAGCTTAATGAATGAATTTAAAAATGAGTCTGAGCATATGAAGAAAGAAATGGAAATCAGGCCTGGTGGTATATGCCTGTAATCCGAGCACTGTGAGTGGCTACGGTGGTCAGACGGATTTCAGATTTAAGTCTAGCCTGAGCAATTTAGTATTTTTTTGGAGACTCTGTCTGAAACTAAAAATATTTTTTTAAAAAGCCGAGAAGGCAGCTTTCTGCAAAAGCCTTGGGTTTGGTCTCCATTAGTCTACAGACAAAAAGAGAACCAGAAGATAGATAGATAGATAGATAGATAGATAGATAGATAGATAGATAGATAGATAGATAGATAGACAGATAGAGTACTAAGGAGAAAAACGTTGAAAAAAAATCTATTATAGTTGGGAAGCCTTAAGGACGAAGAGTTTTGAAAACACCTAGGGGCCAGAGCACTATATAAAAATGTTTGTGTAATGGTTGATACATTGTGTTAACTTGAGAAGTTTAGAATCATGACTAACTCAGCAGTTCTAGTCCTGGGGTGTAGAGCGCATGCACTAGGGGAGCTGTTTATGGTCCAGGACCTTGTAATGCTTGATTCATTGTGTCAATTTGAGAAGTTTAGAAGTTGCACTAAGTGACTCAGCAGGAAGCAGGGTCTTCACTTTACATACATCCTGAGCCTGTGCAAGGGGCGGGCAGGAAGACTGTGTGGGTGCTACATGCATCCTAGGGGTGGACCGGGTAACCTGCCCACACCTAGGGCGGAAAAAAGGCTTGTTTCCCTTCTTTTCTCTCTGTCACTGCTTTGTTGTCTTCTGCTGCCTTGGACTGTAGTCCCTCCGCTGCCTTGAACTGTGGTCCCTCTGCATGCCACCCTGACCTGAAGCCCACTGATTGTGGCCTGAAAACTCTACAAACTTCGACCTAAATAAATATTTCCGGGGCTGGAGAGATGGCTCAGTGGTCTAAAGCACCTACTTAGAACAAGCTTGGCAAAGCACAGGGACCGCGGTTCGATTCTCCAGCACCACATGCCAGCCAGCCCCGCCCCCTGGTGGGCTGAGCTGGCCACACACACACACACACACACACACACACACACACACACACACACACACACACACACACAGAGTAAATAAATGTAAAAATAAATAAACAAAAAAAAGTTTAAAAAATAAATAAATAAATAAATAAATATTTCCTTCCTTAATTTTGGGAGTTGGGTATTCTGTCTCAGCAAGGAGAGAAAAGTAACCAACACAGTGTGGTTTGGAATTTTTTAATTTTTTATAAAGCAAAAGATGTAAGGAAAAAAAAAAGATGTAAGGAAAACTATGAATACAAATTGGGATAAAAGTCACACTTAAAAAACCACAACATATTTGCTGTAAACCAAAGACAATAGGAAAACGTTTAAAGCTATTGAAAGTGCAAGAAGGAGCAAGTTAGCATCAATAACAAGACTGCCAACTGGTTTGTACACTGACATATAGGAGCTCTGTGTTCAACATGAGAAAAACATGATACTCTCTACTATTGAAAAATATTCAGAATTAAAAATATTAGAAGGCCTTAACATACAAAGAAAAAATAGCAGTCACTAACACTCACTAAAGGAAATACCAAAGAATATTCTTGACAGAAACAAATGATCAAAGCTGGGAAGTCTGAAGATGCAGGAAAAAATGAATAGCAGAAAGGCCAATACATATGCAAATTTAAATAAAATGAATTGAATAAAACAATCATTGCTTCATGGATTTCTAAAGGCATAGTATTAAAATTAATGGCCATTTTTCAGGTAGGTATTTTAGCTGGAGGATGTAAGAAGACTACTATTTCGCGCTCCACCACAAGCAGTTTGAAAATGGTGTGAGCCTTGGAAAATGGACCCTCCCTGAACACCAGAAAGAAGTGAATTTTGCACCCTGAAGTCTGAGCCTGAGAAGTGAGATGAATGAGAACTCCTCACTATTCCTGACGGCTGGAAGGAGCCAGCTTTTTTATTCCTGATGGTTGGAAGGAGCCAGCTTTTTCCAGAGGACAATCCGGAGGACTCTCAGAGGAGAGCAGTTTTGCGACTTAGTTCCCCATTATAGAGAGGCCTGCCCGGAAGGGTGCTGGTCTTTGGTATAGAAGCCCGTGCATGAACATCACACCAAGGCCACCTGGACCTGACTGAGGGCAGCACGACTGTACTGTTCATCCTTAGGGCCAGAGATCTAGTGGAACGGTTAGCAAGAAGTGTTCCATTTGAATAGGCAGTATGAATTGTTCAGGATGATGCTGCATGTGACATGATTAAAATAGGTTCTTTAGTAAGAAATAAAGATTCCTAAAAATAAGACAATGACTTATTGGCCCCCAAAAATCTACTTTGAAGGCTTTGGAACTCTTGCCAAACAGTTACATTATGGTTTAGGGATACACAGTTACAGCTCTTAGAAGTTTTAGTACTTTTAAAACAAGTTCTAAAAGTAGTTTTAGATAAATAAAGAATATTCATCCAGGGGCTAGAGAGATGGCTCAGTAGTCTAAAGCACCTACTTAGAACAAGCTTAGCAAAGCACAGGGACCACGGTTCAATCCCCCAGCACCACATGCCTGCCAGCCCCGCCCCCTGGTGGGCTGAGCTGGCCACACACACACACACACACACACACACACATAAATTAAAAAAAAAATTAAAAAAAATATTTGTAAAAAAAAGAATATTCATCCAATTTGTAATATAAAACCTTAATGATAAAAATGACAATTGGGGAAAGATTCTTTTTTTTTTTTTTTGCAGAACTAGGGTTGAACTCAGGCCCTTGCACTTGGCAGGGAAGTGCTTATTCCCTTGAGCTATCTCCCCAGCCCCATAAATAAATCTAGTTTCTTTTTTTCCTTTTCTTCTTTCTTTTTCCTTTTTTTTTTTTTTTTTTTTTTTTTGGCGGAACTCAGGCCCTTGTGCTTGCCAGGCAAGCACTTATTCTATTGAGCCATCTCCCTGGCCCCTAAGATTGTGAATTACTGTCACAAAGTTGGGAAAGATTTTTGCCACAATTCAAACAGAAAAATGTGAGCAAGCACAAAGAACCAAAGAGAGAAGAAAAAATTGTTAAGAAAGAGTTTACATTGTTCCCACTACCACGGCCAGAAAGTCAGATTGACAGAGAATTGTCTAGTGCTGAATGCTTTTTAAAGGCAAATCAGAAGAAGCGACAGAAAATGGAAGTACTAAACGCTAAACAAGCAGAAGCTCTCAATAAGAGACAAGAGGAAGGAAATAAAGCATTTATTCCACCTGGGGAAAAGCCAGCTACAAAACCCAAGGAAGCTTCCACTGAAACTAAAATTGATGTGGTTACCAGAAAGGGTTAAGAAAGCAAGAACAAGAAACTTGGAGCTCTTATGGCTTAAAAAGTTAAGCTTAAGCTAGAAGTGGATGAAAAGAAAAAGAAGAAAAAATAACACTTAAAAACCTAATCTTGAACCATTATTTTATGAATCTATCACCTTTTGTGAAGGATTTTGAGAAACCAGGGCATTAGTTGTGCTATCATACTCTGATCACTTTGTTTTTAAATAGTAGAATTATTTTAGTTATTTATTTTATTTATGGCTGGCTTAGCCACACATCCGCGGTCCCCATGAGGTCTAAGCAGGCACTTTAGTCTGCTGAGCTATCTGGCCAGCCCACTGAGCCAAAAGGCTGTTTCCTTTTGAATTTTTATATAGATGAGAATGTGACTACTGTAATTATGCATTAGATCCAAAGAATGTCTGAAGCTTTTGGTTAGTCTTTAATGATATCCCAGTATTTGGTTTTGAGGAAAATAAATGCAAAATTTTCAGAAAAATAAAAAATGAAGTTAATGACCAAAAAAAAAAAAAGACATAATGTGGGGCCGGGGGTTCTATCCTTGGCTTG